TTTTTTTTTTTTTTTTTTCTTTTTTTTTCGGAAACAGACCCACCACTGCCACCAGTGCTAGCAATGCTGTTAGCGCAGACATTGCCAGCACCTGGGGAGAGGCTCCATTTATTGGTGGGGAGCATCACGTGCTGGAAAACGGGTCCAGCGTCCCATACAGAAATTGATACAGAATGATGCATAGAAAAAACTGGATGGTGTCTAGAGGATTCCTGCCAGCATTGATTGCTCTGGGAACCAGAGGATTGACGGAGCAGGTGTGAGCATATCCCAAAACCTGGAACCAAGAGCTGATGGTCCGCATCTCCTTCCCCAACCTCGTGCCTGATCAGGGTACCGGGAGGGGCCACTGGGGGGCACCAGTGGCTATCCCTACCCCTGCCTTTCGGCACTGACGTCCGTCGGTCCTACCCACCAGTGGCTATCCCTACCCCCGCCTTTCGGCACTGACCTCCGTCGGTCCTACCCAAATATCACACTAGCAGCGAATTTTAGAGCAGCCTGGTTAAAAGAAAACCGACCAAGGTTGCGCTGGTAAGATCTTGACTAAAGTTTGGCTACCACCCACAAACCAAAGCTAAGAGATCATGAAAACAGGCGGCAAGGCCAGACAGGAAAGGTTAGACAGAGTGAACAAGGACTGAAATAAAGCAGGTTTAGAGAGGAAAGATGGTGGTTGGGAGACCAGGGGGAAATCGTGCTGCTACATATTAGCTCCCCTCCGTCCAAAATCCATCACTCCGGATCTAACAAAGCACCAACTATTCCTCTCACTCTCCTCCTCACTTACTCTCACTCCCTCCCTTGTCTCCCTACAAAGCACAAACGCCGCCCCAACGAAAAGGTTGGAGTCTAGAAAAATGAGTAGTTACAGCCTTACAGGTATATTTCGAGACATCCCGGATGTGGAGGAAAAGGGTCTGGAAAATCCTCTGCCGGTCTCATGGGGATGCCTGAGTCTATCGACAACAACTCCTTAAATCTGAGATGGTAGTCCCTTGGGACTTCCTTCTCTCCATGTCGATCTTCCCTGCCAACATCCCCATCCCAGTCTCCTGTCCAGCAAACCTCCGCTACCCACCCCTCCCGATCCCCGCCCAGCCAATCCCTGGAAAACTGTACTAGTCGTTCACGGATGTCTCCGGCTCTATGGAGGATATCCAAGGATTGTTTAGTGGACCTCCACCTGTGCGAGAGTTCCAGTTGGAAGTGTGTTTTGAGTTGCTCCAACCTCTCCTCCCCTTCA